TGTCGTCTTTTTCTCCATATTCCTACACTATACTTTAGCATTGTTTTTTTCAGTACTTGGCACTCAAGGTGTGTTTATTAAATAAATTTAAAGCAGCTACCTGGTTTCCAGTCAGCATCAAATTTGAAAAGCCCAAGTGGAACTTCTATAGACACTCTATGACGGCAGTGTGAGAAATAATAGTTGAGAATGGAGGAGAACACTATAAAAAACCAAACTTGGGAAAATAAAATTCTGCATGTATTTAAAGTCTCATGGACTGAAGCAAATAAGGGTTGATAGGGACTGATAAAGATTAATCTTAAATGCTAGGCTGAGAAAAAAAAATTAGGCCCGGCTCTTATGGCTTAGTGGTTGAGCATTGACCTATGAACCAGGTCATGATTCGATTCCGGTCAGGGCACATGCCCAGGTTGTGGGCTCAATTCCCAGTGGGAGGCATGCAGTAGGCAGCAGATCAGTGATTCTCTCTCATCATTGATGTTTCTATCTCTCTCTCCCTTTCCCTTCCTCTCTGAAATCTAATATATATACATATATATATGTAAATGGTTAAAAAAATTAGAAAATCCTAAAATTTGACATAATTATTAGAATTTTCTACAAATGTAAATAAACTTCTTTTAGAGTTATTGAGAAAAGTCTCATAAATAAGGGACTATTATCTCATTGCTCCAATTAAAAATTTGTACAATAATATTCTTTTTTAAATTGAGTTTATTGGGGTGACATTAGTTAATAAAATTATATAGGTTTCAGCCCTGTGTTGCTCAGTGTTTGAGTGTTGACCCAGGAACCAAGAGGTTGCTGTTTTGATTCCTGATCAGGGCACATGAGGGGGTTACAGGCTCTATCCCCAGTAGGGGGAGTTCAGGAGGCAGCTGTTCGATGATGTTTCTCTCTCACAGATGTTTCCATCTCTCTATCTCTCTCCCTTCCTCTCTCTCTACAAATCAATTAAAACACATATTTAAAAATTGTATAGGTTTCAGGTGTACAATTCTATAATATATCATCTGTATATTGTACTGTGTGTTCACCACCCCAAGTCATGTCTCCTTCCATCTCTGTTTATCTCCCCTTTACACTCTTTGCCTCCCCTCAGCCCCCTTTCCCTCTGGTAATCACTATACTGTTGTCTGGGTCTGTGAGGTTTTTTTTTTGGTGACTTATTTTTTTTAATCTCTTCACCTTTTTCACCCAGCCTTCCAAACCCCCTCCCCTTTGACAGTTATCAGTCTGTCCTCTGTATCTATGAATCTGTTTCTATTTTGTTTATTAGTTTATTTTGTTCATTAGATTCCACATATAAATGAAATCATATGGTACTTGTCTTTCTCTGGCTTATTTCTCTTAGCATAATACTCCATAGGTCCACCCATGCTGTCTGAAAGGGTAAGATTTTCTTATACAGCCAATTAGTATTCCTGCGTATAAATGTACCACAGCTTTTTTATTCATTCATCTACTGGTGGACACTTGGGTTACTACCAAATCTTGGCTATCCTATATAATAAAAGCCTAATATGCAAATTGTCCCCTCAGGCAGGAGTTTGACTGACCAGGAATTCAACCAGGGGCAGGGCTGGCCCACCAACTGCCCGCGGCCCCTCCCCCTGGCCAGCTCTGCCCCCGATTGCCCCCTCCCCCACCCTGATTGGGGCGGGGCTGGCTGGTCAACCTCCCACGTCCCCTCCCCCTGGCCGACCTGGCCTATTGGCTCCATTGGGGCAGGCCAGCTGAATCCCACCCATGCATAAATTTGTGCACTTGGCCTCTAGTTGTAAATAATGCTACATAAGTGTGAACATAAGTGTGTATATATTCTTTTGAATTAGTGTTTCGGTTTTTTTTTTTTTTTCATATATATCCTCAGAAGTAGATTTGCTGGATCATAAGGCAGTTCCATTTTTAATTTTTTGAGGTAACTCCATACTGCTTTCCCCAGTGGCTGCACTAGTCCGCTTTCCCACCAACAGTGCACAAGGGCTTCCTTTTTTCCATATCCTTGCCAACTTCTTATTTGTTGACTTATTGATGATATCCATTCTGACAAGTATGAGGTGATATCTCATTGTGGTTTTAGGTTGCATCTCTCTGATGATTAGTGACATTGAACATCTTTTCATATAATAATAAATATTCTTGATTTACTTTAGCTAACTAAAGCAGATAAATATTATATATTTTGTTTAAGGAAACAAAATTAGTACATTTTTAAAATAATAATGTCCAGACTACATGCTTAAACATGTGATTGCTGACCTCATATGAATATTTTTTATTCAAGAATTATGAACTGCTACTTTTTTGTATAGAGTATCCTGACATTATTATAAATATACTATTCTAGATATTTGTTTAAAATTCCAAGAAAAAAAGATGATGTAGTAGCTAATCGTAACACTAGGTGGTGGTAACTGATTTTAGAAATTAAAGCATGAAATTTTTCCAACATGTATTCTTTTTTTGAACTTGAAACATTTAGTGCTGCTTACATTTCAGAAGGAAAGGAGGGAAAAATATGCCAGGCTATACAATACCATTTCTACCTGTTTGGGCTCCTCACCTCTCCATCTTTTTCCTTTGAATGCTATAATCCAATGCTTCTCAAATTTGTTGGTCGCATGCCCTTTACACTCTTAAAATTATTGAGCCCTGACCGGTTTGGCTCAGTGGATAGAGCGTCGGCCTGCAGACTGAGAGGTCCCAGGTTCGATTCCGGTCAGGGGCATGTACCTTGGTTGCGGGCACATCCCCAGTGGGAGGTGTGCAGGAGGCAGTTGATCGATGTTTCTCTCTCATCGATGTTTGTAACTCTCTATCCCTCTCCCTTCCTCTCTGTAAAAAATCAATAAAATATATTTTTAAAAAAATTACTGAGCATCCTAAAGAGCTTTCACTAATGTGGATCATAAGTAAATAATGATTAGTGTTTTTTTCTTGTTAGAAATTAAGACTGAGAAATTTAAAAAGACATATTAATTCATTTAAAAATAATAATAACACACCTAATACTTATTAATATAAATATTTTTGAGAAAAAAATAACCAATTTCCAAAACAAAAAAATAGTGAGAAGAATTACTTTGTTTTAAAAATTTTAAATCCCTTTAATGTCTAGGTTATTAATAGATAGATGGATTTCTATATTTGTTTACAGATTCAATCTTTTGGATATAACATATCATTTAGTCTCTGGAAAATTTCGCTCCATATTCGTGAGAGTATAAGAATAAAAAAGGCAACTAATGGCTTTGTATGAAAATCATTTAAATTTCACATAGTCTCTCAAAGGGTCTTGCGGACCCCGAAGAGTCCAAAACTACAATATGAGGACTATTGTGCTACCTCCTCCGTGCCTGTAAGATGTTAATGAAGACATGAAAACTATATGCATACGTAGTTTGTATTAACTTTGAATTTATAAATACTAAAGTTTAAACTACTAGTTTTTGGCTTATTTCATCTGTATGTTGTACATAAGGATATATTTACAACAGAAATGACTGAGTAGATATTATCACATTAAAGATAATTTCCTAATAGAAAAAAGGACAAAAGATGACCATAGTTGAAAGATGCAAATATACATTATGTTCATAGGACATAATTTTTAACCAGAAAAAAATACTTATTAGAATACATATGGACCTAAATCATTACCAGAGTTTGATTCAATGTATATTAGCTGCAATCTGTAATCTGTGAAGACTTTGATATCATCACAGTTACACCTCTGTTGTGAAGTAATCGCTTGTCTCTTCATTCTCTATGCTTTGTCTGTTCTTCCTGATCCGCATCCACAACATCAGCCCTTGTCTCTATGCTAATGATTCCCAACACTGTGTCCAAGCCAACCTGACCTCTCTTCCCTGTGTTCCCCAGCCTTACTTCCAGTTGTGTATCTCTGGGTAGAAGTCCTAAAGGTTCCTCAGTTCCAGGTTACATAAAACCAAACTCATGTTCTCCCTTCAGATCACTCCAGCACAGGGGTGGGCAAACTTTTTGACTCAAGGGCCACAATGGGTTCTTAAACTGGACCGGAGGGCCGGAACAAAAGCATGGATGGAGTGTTCGTGTGAACAAATATAAATTCAAAGTAAACATCATTACATAAAAGAGTACGGTCTTTTTTTCAATAGTTTTATTCATTTCAAACGGGCCGGATCCAGCCCATGGGCTGTAGTTTGCCCACGGCTGCTCTAGCACCTACTCCTCCTTAATTCTCTCTTTTAGTTAATCACCGTTTATCAGATTCCTCAGGCTGGAAACCTTTAAGGAACCTTTGACATTTTTTTTCACCCCTTAAATACACTGATTTTTCATGTCTCGTCGCTATTTGCTCTGCATGAATTTTCTTATCTTCTTAACCTGGGAAATGACTACAAATACTTAGATCTCAAACGTTACCACTTCTATAACCCAATTAGCAGATGTTCTTATATCACTATAAGTGTGTGTTTGGGTAAACAGAGAGAAAGCACACATTGTTTTTTCATCTCTCTCCCTTGATAAATTATTAGCTTTGTAAGGCAGGTACTGTGTTCTATTCATCTTTATTTCCCCAGTCTTTAGCACACTTCGTAGGTTTATTTATAGAAGAGAGAGAATGGTATCAATTGTCCATGTTTCAAGTATTGTACAGGTAGTTCACTGCTGCCCAATGTTAAATGTTACAAGTTATGATTAGTATATCTTTTCCAATAATTCCTTAATTTCAGGGGGAAATGCCTCCATTATAAAAGTTAACACTGAGTATAAAGTTTCATAAATACATTTAATATACATTTGAAGTATCACAAACCTGATCTAATGGTATTTATAATGAGTAGTACTCTAATTATGACTTGATGTTAACTCGTAACAGTAAAAATGTGCTAGGTTTAAGTATAGTTTGGGGTAAAAGTTTTGGTATAGAATATATCTATACATACATATTTCCATGTCAGTACTTTTCAGATTTATGTATACTAATACATGCTAACTTCTGTTTGCAGAACTTCTTGGTATACATGAACAAGCAGCTGTAGGGTTCTTAACCTTAATGGAAGCTTTAAGATACTGTAAGGTAAGTTGATTTTTAAGGTACTTTGAATGATCTTTATTCACATGTTCACTGTTGTGGATAGTATTTTTCTTCTATGACAACATATTTTAGCTTACTAATGTTATTATATACTCTCATCAGATTATTGCTAGTCTTCTTTCCTAAACCGACAGTCGTATTAAGGGAAGAGTTAAGCTGGCTGATCAGGCAGTTTCCTAATTTTGAGGTTTGTTTCTTTTCGAGGGTGGGGGGAAGAATCCAATATATTGTGGAAATAGAGACTTCTGTTGTGGAATATAAATATTTTTTTTGGTAAACTGAGGGAAAAGGGTGTGCTGTTTCTTCCTTACCAATTAACGGTATACTTCACTAAACAACTGGTAGTACTTTATTGGGCAAAGAAAAAGAACCTGCTAAATGCTGAAATTCTAACTTCTGATTGTTCCATCTGAAAATGATTTCACACTGACAAAGCAGAAATCCAAGCATTTAATAGAATTAAACTCCTTAACACATATGTGAAAATTAGGAACTGCCATGAAACCCTCATTTATTGATATATATTTTATTGCTTTCCTACACAATCTGAAATAACTATTGGCTGTTCCAATGGTCTTAAATCATTAGAGATTTGCAGTTAAGGTGTCCTCATTTTGGAGGAAGAAAGAAGACAATGTTATTTTTTACTTCTGAATGTTGGTTCCATGGCAGTGGTTCTGGTGGTGGTGATTAGTTTTAGTAACAGTGTCTTGTGCCCTTCCTTCCTTCCCCTTTTTTTTTTAACCAGACAGCATTCCTCTTTCATGACAGTCCTTGGACAGGGGTGATACGGGCATAAAAATCAAACAGGTTTCATCCAGCTCTTATTCAGTTTAGTTATCGTAAGGTTAAACAGTAGCAGTTCTTCTTTTTAGTTACTTTAATTATACAAGCTAAAATTATTCTGAGTTTGCCTGGCAACCAAAGAATGAAATTGCATCTTCTCCTAGCATGCGCACACACACATACACACAAAACAGGAACTGCCATGAAACCTTCATTTATTGGTATATATTTCATTGCTATATAGAGGTGATACATATATTAATTAGCTTGATTGTAGTGATATTTACACAATATATACATATATCAAAACATTAAGTTGTACACCTTAAATATATACAATTTTTATGTCAATGAGGTTTTAATAAAGCAGTTTTGTAAATAGTGTGTGTGCGCGTGCATGCACATGTTGCAGGAGGTCAGGGTCTGGAGATGTTCTAGTTTGACATTTTCACTGTGTGGCCTGTAAGGCCCTGATGGTCTGGATCCTGTCTGCCCTTCCAGAGCTGCATCACTCCCTCCATTGCTGAGTCTGGCCATGCTGGTCTCCTGTTGTTTCTTAAACAGGCCAAGCCCTTTCCTGCCTCACAAGCCTTCATATTTGCTATCATTTCTGCCAGAAATATTCTATTCTCCCCTTCAGGTCCTACTTCAAATGGTGCCTCAAAGACCCTTTCCTTGATCATCCCCTCAGTGAATCATCCCAACATGATTTCATAGGAATAATCACTCTGTACTTGCTTCTTTTATAATTTTGAATTTGTTTTTTTTGTCATCCCTAATGGAATATAGACTCTTTGAAGGCAAGCAGGCACATTGTTTCTGGCTACATAGTAGGTGCTCAATAAATATTGTTGCACGAATGAGTGCAAAATTGCACTGTAACTGTAGGCTTTTCTAAATATGTGCTTTAGCTTTGCTTTAACTGTTAGGCACAACAGAGCGATGTCTGTTCCTCAGGACTTTAGTAGAAAGTTAACAGCTGCTGTGTGTTCTCTTGTTATTCTCTAGTATTCTAGCAGCAACTATGGTGTTATATAAGATTTAAAGGTTTGTTGTTTTTTTTAGTGGCAGGACACAACATATTGACACTCAGATAGAGGAAAGGCAGATCTGTTAGTTACTGACAGCTCCTAACCAGAGCTGGGCCACATAGGGGTTACACCTGGGAACAGGTCAACAGCAAGCTTATGTGTGGGAATTGAGGGTAGAGTTAGCTAGGTCTCATGGGCTCAGTGTGGACTGGCTAATTTGAATAGTTTCCATGCGCTCAGGGGCTTAAGAGCTGTCCCTGGTCGTGTTGTTCCTGGTTCCAGGGCCATTAGGGCAATGCATAATGACCTGTGGTGTGAGAGACTTCTAGGGAAAGTGGTTGGGGTTTGGACTTACTCAGCAGTCTTTTTTAAGGGAATTGACCAGCCTCAAACCAGGGCCTCAAAACTGAGTCAAGACAGAATTTTAAAAAACCCACAAAACTCTATTACATGGAGCTGTTTATATGGATAATAGAGGCCCGGTGCACATAAATCTGTGCACTCGGGGGTCGGGGGGTGGGGGGGTCCCTCAGCCCGGCCTGTGCCCTCTCGCAGTCTGGGACCCCTCGGGAGGTAATGCCCTGCTGGCTTAAGCCTGCTCCCGGGTGGCAGAGGGCAGGCCCAATCCCTAGGTGCAGCCCCTGGTCGGGCTCAGAGCAGGTCCGATTGGGGAGTTGGGGCGCCGCCCCCTGTCATGCACAGAGCAGAGCTGATCAGGAGGTTGGGGCGCCTTCCCCTGTCACGCACAGAGCAGGGTGGATAGGGAGGTTGTGGCCCGGCCCCCTGTCAGACACAGAGCTGCAGGGCAATCAGGGGGTTTGGGCGCTGCCCCCTATCACTCTTATCCCAGTGCCAGGAGGCCTCTCGGCTCCGCTGATCCCGGTGCTGGGAGGCATATTACCCTTTTACTATGTAGGATACAGGCCTGGTGCATGGGTGGGGCTGGCTGTTTTGCCCTGAAGGGTGTCCTGGATCAGGGCGGGGGTCCCCACTGGGCGTGCCTGGCCAGCCTGGGTGAGGGGATGATGAGTGTTTTCAGGCTTGCGGGTGACAGAAGCTCCCAACCGCTCCTTTTTTCTTTTTTTATTCTGGGCCAGTTTTAGCTCTGAGGCTTGGCTCCAGCTTTGAGGTCTCCGCTGTTGAAAGTAGGTATCTGCTTTGTTTCGATTCTATAATCGAAACTCTGTATCAACTCCAGCTCTGAGATCCCCGCTTGCTGAAGGCTGGTTTCTGGGGTTTTGTTTAGCTTCTATTTTTGTTACAATGTTCAAACTGCAGGCTCAGAGGCTGGCATGGTAGGCGGGGAATTTTGGAGTCCTCGTCACTGAAGCAAGCAAGCTTCATGTTCAGTTTAAGCTGCCTGGCTGCCGGCTGCCATCTTGGCTGGAAGTTAATTTGCATATCTCGCTGATTAGCCAATGGGAAGGGTAGCGGTCGTACGCCAATTACCATATTTCTCTTTTATTAGATAGGATACTGTAAGTTTCATTCTTAAAATCTATATTCATTTACTTTGTACCAGATGTTTAGAAAAATGACATTAAGGAAATATTTATGTTTGTATTAGTTTTGTGAACCTGAGCATTTTCCTGTTTGGTAGTGTAGTACACTGCCCTTTAGAAATGAAATTAACATTTTCATGTCAATTTGACCATATATGTTTTATTAACACAAATAAAACGGTATTTCTCTTCTCCCCGTTTCTTTCTGTGTATGTATATACACATGCCTGTGAACAAAGAAGGTGACCAGTGCTTTTGACTATGCCCTTTAAAAAAAACAGATATATTACTCACATAACATAAAATTAACTATTTTAAAGTGTATAATTCAATAGTTTTATGTATTTATTTTATGTATTTATGTATGTTATGTATTTATAAGTTAATGGAGAGTTCCACTTTTTGGTTGTTAAGAATAATACTGTTATGAACATTCATGCATAAGTTTTTGTGAACATGTTTTCATTTCTCTTGAGTATATACCCAGGAATGAAATTGCCTGGTCATATGGTAATTATATGCTTAACTTTTTGAGGAACTGTCAAACTGTTTTCCAAAGTAGTTGCATTATTTATTCACTCTTGATTGATTTTTTATTATTAGAAAACACTTCATGAGTTCAGCCTTTATTTGCCTTTTGATCCTACTGTGTGTAATCTTACCCACACTTTTTACTTCTCTCATGATTAAGTGTATGCGCATGCACACACACTATCTTTTTTTTTTTTTAATCTTCACCCAAGGATATGTTTTTTTTTTTTTTATCAATTCTACAGAGTGAGGAAGGGAGGTGGGGGGAGAGAGAGAGACAGAAACATCCATATGAGAGAGAAATGTCAATTGATTGTCTCCTGTATGTGCCCCAACCAGGGGATCGAACCCGAAACCTAGATATGTGCCCCGATCAGGAATTGAATCCTGCACCCATTGGTGTATGGAACGACGTTCAACCAACTGAGCCACACTGGCCAGGGTATACACTTTTTCTAAGAAAGAAACTAAACTGACCAATCTCAGAGGGAAGGTAGGGGTGGAGGAGTGGGTGGGGAGAGATTAATCAGGGAACACATATGTGCATATATGCATAGCCCCTGGACACAGATAATAGTTTGGTGAAGGCCTGGGGGGGCGGAGTTCAGGGTAGAGGGGGTTCATAGGGGAAAGAAAGGGGGACATCTGTAATACTTTCAACAGTAAAGATAAATTAAAAAATAGTTAAAAGAAACTAAACAACCTCTAAAGTTTTCACAAGAGGCAGCGTGATGGAATGGAAAACCACCACATTAGGAGTCAGCAAACCCGAGTCTTAGTTCCAGCTCATACTAGTTAACTGTTTGTATTCCAACAGGGCACCGATCCCATGTATTCCTCTGTGTCCTTATGTAAAATTTAAGGACTTGCACTGCACACCTCTGAAGTGACTTCTACTCTGACCCAGTGATCAGAGCTTTTCCTTTTTCTTTGTCCTTTGGCTGTTATTCTCTGTTGTTCCCAAAGTGCCCTTTACGCTACTGGCTCATCATTGCCTTTGGCACATCCAACGCATCCCTTGCATTATAGGACAACAGAGAATAAATTCTATCCCTCCTAGTGATAAGAATAAATTTTGAAGGGCCCTGGTGGTGCCTGAAAGCAGGGTATCATATCAGGGCTGTTTGTAATTAGGAAGAAGAGTTGGCCCTGACTTGGAATTTCCTATTTCTAGGGAGTCTGTGTGAGAAAAGAAAATTCAGCACATTTGATTGGTAAGGTTAGTTGTTTTAAGTCAAAATCTTTGTCCTCATAAGTGTGTGGAACTGATTGATGTGGATGAGGTTGGATTTCACAAGTCTATTATTTTCTCAGTCACACAAAAAATGATATTTCCAAATTTTTGGAACTGCAGTGTTTAGAGATTAATTGCATAACCCTGAAGCCAGGTTATAGGTTTAACTCTTTATACATTTTAAGAGACTGGATATTGTAAAACTTTGAACTTAACTCCTACCATGAAGAGTCAAATGATAGGATTCTTTTATATACTTAAATGTTTTACATATTTTGCTTTAGAGAGATTATTATGTTACCCTAGGTTCTTTGAAGACAGGATATTCTTAAGGCTTTTCCCCTTATTTATTCATAAATCTACTCATTTGTTCATTTATAATTATTTTCCTGATCAAATTATTATGATCAAGTGTATGGTTTTTGGGTTTTGAGATACTAAACTGACATTCTAGAAGTGGCCATGCTATCTAGGAACTTTAGTAAAACCTGAGAATGATGCTTAGGGTTAAACTATTGGTTCTGGCTGTGTTAAGTCTGTGTTGTTGTTCTGTGTAAAGGCACAGCATAAGCTTAGCCCTGATAGTCTTTATAACATTGACTTTATATTCATTGGTAATGACCTTTATGGGTAAGGCATTCTGGCACAGTATTTATTATTCCATTTAAATATGAATTGGACACCCTGGTTATGTTTCAGATATTCATGGGCACGTAATAGGCAGTATAAAATTTTCATTTGTTTGTTTATTTTGCTACATTTGTTCTAGGTTGGTTCTTACTTGAAATCTCCAAAATTCCCTATTTGGATTGTTGGCAGTGAAACTCACCTCACCGTATTTTTTGCCAAGGTATGCTTACAGTAGGATTTTTTTTTTAAGTATGACATCAGACAAACAAGTAATATAGGTTATATTTAGTATGGATCTTTGTGCAAACATCAGTGTATTCCCACTAACAAACGGATTGTTCCAAAATCTAAAATATTAACACAAAAGAATGTATTGTTTTACTTCTCCAGTTTTGGAATTTCAATAAAATCTGTCATGACTCAGTTATAACTTCTTTACCTTTGCTTTGCCTTTTGCTTTTCTTGTTTTTATATATTTTTTGTTGTTGTTGTTTGTCTGTTTTTTAAGGGATCACTTTTGTTACGATAAAGTTTTGGATTGTTCTTTTGCAGAAAAGATTAAACTTTCACATGATATACAATAATTTTAGTTATGCTATGCCTTAGGAAAATATTTTAAAGTTTATTAATAGTTGAATGGTATGAAAAGCACTCTTTTAAAATGGGATATTTCCTATAGTTTTAATGTATATATGATTACAATATTGAAATAAGTCAAATGTATTTGAACATGTTTATTTTAAAATTCTGACAACAAAGCCTTTTCTAAATCCTAACCTTTAACAATAATATGTTTTTTCTACAATTGAGTGGTTCAGTGCTTTGGAGTCAGACAGCTTTTGTTTTGAATCCTAGCTGTTCCACTTCCTAACATTGCTCTCAGCCCCTTTTCTTATATTTAAAATGGGGATTAAGAATAGTACCTGGCTCTTAGAGTTATTATTAGGCTTAATATAAAATATTTAGCAATACTATTACAAGTTAAATGCTCAGTTATGTCTTAGCTGTCATCGTCATTTTCATTCTATAAATATTTATTAAACCTTTCTGGTATTCCTAGAGAGAGTTGCTAGACGTTGGCCTGAAAGGGAAAAGATATAATTGTGTTTTTGAGGTTTTTTTAATTTGAGTGCACTTTTTATTACTCCATGTTTTTTTTTCAGCTTGTACTTGCTAATATAAGTTTATTTATATCTGTAAGGATTATGAATAGCATAAATTATAGCAAAGACTGAAATGACAATGCTGAATTTTGTGGGTCTATTTTCTTGTTTATTCCTATATTTACTTTTATTGTGCTGGTAAAAGTCCAGCTGTGGATTTAGAGAAAGTTATATATACTTACCTTTTTTTTAAACAGGGAAAGCTATAAAATACAAGTTAAAGTACAGACTCATATGTTACATTTAGTCTGAAAGCTTTTGCTGTTTGTTTCCCTCTTAAAATTGGAGAGGAAGAAGTTAAAAGCATCATTTAAACTATAGAAACTGAGCAACTTCTAATTCCTGAATGAGTCCATTTGACTAATTTTTGTATTAAGTGTTATAAATTTCCAGATAAGAAAATCAAATTTTCAAGCCAATTATTTTATCTCCAACCCTATTCTTTAGCATTAAGAAAACGAATAAATTCTGTGAAACTTTGTTTCAAATGTAAAAGATAATAATATGAAAATATTTTAAATCTTAAATTTTATGATTGACATTTAAGAAACTAGAGGCACGGGCAGGGTCCTTAGCAGCTGCCGGCTGTTGGCCAGGGCCTCTTTTTCCCTGGCTGCCAGCGAGGGCCTCCCTTTGCACGCGCTGCCTGCTCACCTGCTCCACCATCCCACCATGGTCCGCTTTCGTTGGGGCCCATCTAGGCCAACAGCGCCTCTACTGCTGCCTACTGCTGCCCACTGCTTCCAACGCCACATTGCTGATGCCTACCATATTTCATGCCGTCTCCTGGTGGTCAGCGCACGTCTAACTCCCTGTTGGTCAAACTCCCGCCTGTAGGAGCAATTTACGTATTAGCCTTTTATTATATAGGATGATTCTATTGTCAAAACAGCAGAAGACAGAGGTTAATACAAGGAATAGTGTTAATTCAGCTATGTAAATATGCAGGCATTTTGTATTCAAGCCATAATAATATATCCTAGTTTTAGAGGATTAGGAATGTTTCCTTGAAGAACAGGTGTTTAAAATGAGCACTGAGGCATCTGATTAAACTTATGGGAAGAGGGAAAAAAGAACTTTCCCTATATGGGAAGTATTTGGAGCAAACAAACAGCTGTAGAAAGATGGAGTACTAGTATGGTGTGAATAAAAAAGAGCTGGGGCACTAAGCATTCAGGGGGACAGGTGAAAGATGAGGCTGCAAAAGTAGGCAGGCCCTGCAACTCTATTCTAAGAGTAATGACGGCCCCTAGATTTTTCAAAAATTGGTGGGGGGAATAGGTTGGCGGTAGATGGGAAGGAAGGGAATGGTTTTAAATTTGCATTTTGGAAAGATCACTCTGGCTAATTCTGGAAAACAGACATATTGAAGGATAACTTAGAGTGGGTAAACAAGACTTCTTTAGTTTTTGAGGTAAGCAAAGAATATGATAATGTTAGTAGAGATGGATAGAAGCACATACATTTGAGAGACTTAATCGAGTTAAACTGACAAGATTTGGTGATAGATTGCATTGGAGAGATAAGAGTTAGAGAGGTCTCATGACCTGTGTTTTTACTGATTAGATCTTCAAGTCTCAGAAAGAACTGAGCTTTGCTATTGTTGGATGTACCCCTGATTTATTCTTCTTTGGGCACACTGACCAGGTCAAGAGGAAAGATTGAGATACTACAGTTTGGGAATAGTTCAGCCAAATAATCCCTACAGTGAGGTTTACAAGTCCTGCTCACAAAGATAATGCCTTTTAGTTTCTCAAATATTAGCAGAACACCAAGGGTCACCAGACATTTGAGGAATGCTTCCATGAAAAACAGAGTCAGAACAAATAGGGGAAAATGAACTCAAAAGAATGTAGATATTGTAGGACAGTGCAGGGATCAGAAGAAAACTTAAAAAAAAAACCCACCAAAAAACTTATGGGAAGTTAATATATCCGTAAAACTATGGAGGCTCTGAGAAAAAAAAAATTAAGAAAAAAGAGAAACTGAAAAGTTATTGAACGAATCGGAAGACAAATTAGAGAAATCTCCCTCTAGCTTGTTGCAGTAGTTTCTAACTGATAACCATGCTGTTGCCCTTTTTGGAGGCTTTAGTATCTTCTCATTTCAGCAATTAAAATGACCCCAAAACTTTATGTCACTATTCTGCTCAAAACCTTATATTAGTTCCCCTTTTACTAAGAATTAAAGCAGAGTTCTTGGAGTAACCTACTAGTCCTTCCCTCACCTCATTGGATTCCCTATTTCCTCTCTATTCTTATTTCCTTTTACTTCTCCATGTCCTAGCTTTCTTGGCCACACTGGCCTTTCCTCTGCCTCAAAAACGAGGCAGTTTTCACTTTGCTTAAAATGATCTCGCCTCAGATGTTTGTATAAAAGATTCCTTCCTTTGGGTCAGTAATCTAATGTCACCTCCTTAGTGAGGCCTTCCCTGCCATCTTTTCTAAAATTTTAACCCCCTTGTTCTGGCTGAGTGGCTCGGTTGGAGCATTGTCCTATACATCAAGAGGTTGTGGGTTCTATTCCCAGTCAGGGCACATACCTAGGTTACAGATTGGATCCCTGGTCGGGGCATGTATGGGAGGCAACAGATCAGTCTTTCTCATACAGATGTTTCTCCCTCCCCTCCCCCTCCTCCTCCCCCTCTCCTCTTTCTTTCTCTCTAGTATGTATTTTAAAAATTGAGTTGAAATTCTCATAAAATTAACTTTTTTCACATGAACAGTTTAGTGATTTTTAGTATATTCACAGTATTGTGTAACCACCACCTGTATCTACATTCTCATCCAAAACATTCTCATCACCTTAAAATAATAACCCATATCCATTAAGCAGTTACTTCCTATTTCCTCTCTGGAGCCCCAGCAACTACCAATTTGCTTTTAATCTCTATGAATTTACCTCTACCGAATATTTTATATAAATATAATCATAAAATATGTGACCTTTGTGTCTGGATCCTTTCACTGAGTATGTTTTTGTGGTTCATCCTCATTGTAGCATGTATCAGTACTTCATTCCTTTCATGGCTGAATGATACTCCATTATATGCATACTGGAGGCCCAATGCACGAAATTCATGCAAGATTAGGCCTTCCTTCTTCTTGGTGCTGCCAGCACCGGCTTCTCTCTGGCACTCGGGACCCAGGCTACCTCCCGCTGCCGGCAGGCACCTGGGACCCGGGCTTCCCGTCGCAGCCCCTACTTCATCTGGAAGGTTGTCTGGAAAGATGTCCTGTCTAATTAGCATATTATGCTTTTATTATTATAGATAACACAATTTATTTGTCCATTCATCAATTAGTGGACATTTGGTTTGTTTTCATCTTTTGGCTATTGTGATTGTGCTGCTGTGAACATTCCTACACAAGCACATGCTTGAGTCCCAGTTTTGAGTTCTTTTGAGTATATACCTAGAACTGGAAATGCTGGGTCATATGGCAATTCTGGGTTTTACTTTTTTGAAGAACCACCAAACTGTTTCAGCAGTTGTATCATTTCACATTCCCACCAGCAATATGTAAGGGTTCCAAGTTTTCCACATCTTTGCTAACACTATTATTATTATTACCAGAGGCCCAGTGCACAAAATTTGTGCACTTAGGGTGGGAGGTCCCACAGCCTGGCCTGCGCCCTCTTACAGTCCAGGAGCCCACGGGGGATGTCAGACTGATGGCTTAGGCCCATGGGGAGCGGGCCTAAGCCAGCAGTTGGTCATCCTTAGCGCTGCTGTGGGGGCAGGAGAGGCTCCTGCCACTGCCGCTACACTCGCCAGCTGTTAGCCCGGCTTCTGGCTGAGTGACATTCCCCTTGTGGGAGCGCACTGACCACCAGGGGCAGCTCCTGTGTTGAGCATCTGCCCTCTGGTGGTCAGTGTGCATCATAGTGACGGGTTGTTCTGCCATCAGGCCAAAACTGGCTCTTCGACATTCCCCGAGGGATCCCAGAGGATGCAGGCTAGGTCGAGGGACCCCACCAGTGCACAGTTGGGGTTGGGAGGGACATGAGAGGTTGGCCAGCTGGGAGGGGCCACAGGAGGGCTCCAGGGCATGTCTGG